TCATGCCTAAGATTTATTGCAGAGCAAAGTCAGCACAGGGAAAAGGCACATGAGGACAATGTCTGGAGAACCAGGTGAAGCTTCTAGAGCCCTCTATCAGTGGAGTCACACAAGGTGTGCTTAAGTCCCCCAGAAATGAGTAGTGAAAAAACATGTAAGGGGCTGGCCCCATGGCCGAGTGGTTGGGTCTGTGCGCTCCCCTGCAGGCGGCCCAGTGTTTTGTTGGTTCGAATCCTGGGCACGGACATGGCACTGCTCATCAAGCCACGCTGAGGCAGCGTCCCACATGCTACAACTAGAAGGACCCACAATGAAGAATATACAACTATGTACTGGGGGGCTTTGGGGAGAAAAAGGAAAAAATAAAATCTTTAAAAAAAAAAAAAAAGAAAAAACATGTAAAATATTGCCAACCAGGGAAACTCATCAGAGACTTAAGGCCCAGGGTTCTTACAGAAGTCTAGTCATGTAGGCAGCCTCTGCCTGGAATGTATCCAAATGGCAGACTCCTAGGGGAAGACAGGTTTCAACATAAACCATATCATTTATACAAACAATTTAGGCATAGAGAGCCACTCTTATCAGTTAACAGTGGGAACCTTCCTGAAATCTATGTTCCCAGTTGCAGGCCAAAGGCCAATCTTATAAGCAGACTTTTCTAAGAACAAGCAGTCAGGCCTGATCTGTTAACTCTTTTTTATTCTGTTAACAGAATAACTACAATAACACTCCCATTTTAAAAAGTGGGGAGAAGAGGAATGAGAGGCACATAGCAGTCACTGGTCCATCGCAATTCTGAAATCCATCCAGGTACATGTTTTTAGTTTCTTGACTAAGGTGCAGTCCTGCTCCATGGGAGTGTTTCTCTGTGCTTCTCAGCTCTTCCCTCTGGGCTCTCCACTCTGCACTTAGTCATTCTTCCCTTTCCATAAGAAATACCCTGTGTTTGCAAATGAGTTTCTTCTTCAGCCTACTTCCTGTTCCTATAAAGTTGGGTGTCCCAAGGCCTCTTTTCATTTCAAACTATCTCTGTTCTTTTTAGTCCAGTTTGGTAGTGCTTCTACCAATACAATTCTCTTAACAACATTGTGGGTTTTCTGTTAATCATATTTAGGTCCACTCTATTAGACAAAAGCCACATCCTAAAATCTCCTAAAGACCATCCCTTCTCTTCCCTGGGCTAAGAATCACTGAGAACACTATATTACCTCAGTGTGAAGCTTTCTGCCACTATATAACACTGTCCACCTTTTATCCAACTGTATTAATTTGCTAGGGCTGCCATAATGGGCTACCACAAACCAGGTGGCTTAAACAAGAGAAATTCATTGTCTTACAATTCTGGAGGCTAGAAGTCCAAGATCAAGGTTCAGTAGGGTTGGTTTCCTTTAAGAATGTGAGGAAGAGTCTGTTCCACGCCTCTCTCTTAGCTCCTAACGGTTTGCTGGCAACCTTTGGTGTTCACTGGTTTGTAGACCCATCACCTTGATCTCTGCCTTCATGTTCACGTGCCATTCTCCCTGTGTACATGTTTTATGTCCAGATTTCCCCTTTTATAAGAAGACCAGTCATACTGGATTAGGGCCCAACTTAATGACCTCATTTTAACTGGATTACCTCTGTAAAGACTCTCTTTCCAAATAGGATCATATTCTGAGGTGCTGGGGGTTAGGACTTAAACATACGACTTTTGGGGGGACACAATTCAACTCATAACAATGACTTTCAATAACAACTCCCTCCCTGTCCTTTCAAGCCTTCACTTGAAGCCATTTTAGCTTCTGTCCACCCCCTGTCCAAAGCCAATAGCACGTATTTTTTGTTAGCAGTATCTAAGGTCACCAATGTGAGTATCAGTTAGGGGCTGCTCAGGGAAGTGGCAACACTGTGGAATACAGGATTTATGATAGGGATTATATACAGCACAATTGCAGGAGAAGCTAAGAAAGAAAAGGTCTGGAAGGAGATGGCTGGAGGATCAGAGAAAAGTCATTAACCAGGGATCACAAAGAGAGCTGGTGAAGAAGTCTGCGGAAGGGTGTTGCCTCTGAATCTGGTAAGGGGCCTGAATTTGATAGGTTATCAGGACTAGTATTCAAGAAGAAAAGTTGGAATAGATTGAGGGAGAGTGAGGATAAACCGGAATCCACAAGGACTAACTAGAACCCATGGAGACAAATGGAACTTCTAGCTCTCCCTCACATTGATAATGCAGGTGGTCTGCAGAAGAAGCTGACGCCCTTAACATGGAACTACATATGTGCCTTGCCCCAGGGCTTGGAGAAGCTCAACTAGGAGACGTGATGGGAGCTGGAAGAGCTGGGGCCTTGCCACTGCTCTGCACCAGCAGGTCCGTAACAAGTTTACCGTCTGCAGCTGGCACCTGGCACCCTACATCAACCTTCAGATCACAAGGCCGGCTTCACTTGCTTCTTCTAAATCTTATGTAAATTTCTCTTGTGGCTAATCCTATCCTGGAACCAGACTAGGAAGAGAAATTTGGGGAACTAAATTCCAGCTTAGCTAAATTGACAATATAAATTGACACCAAATGAGCTAAACATCAATAGTTGCCAGATACCATGATGCTGTGTCTCATCTACATTAGTTTCTCAGTTAAGCCTCAAAGTAGTTTGTCAAGATAAATCTTAGCATTCCCATTTTACATACGAGGAAATGAAGCCTCATATGTACGCATAGGTGAGCAAATGGTAGAGCCTGGATTCTGCCCCACATCTGTGTGATGGCCAGCTTCCAAGATGGCCCCTAGCAATTCTTGCCTGCTGGTATTCATGCTGTTTTGTAGTTTCCCTCCCACGTTAACTAGGACTGACTTGGGTAATCAGTAGAACATCGCAGAAACAGTGGTGAGTGATTTTTGAAGCTGGATCATAAAAGAAATTGCAGCTTCTACCTTTGTCTTTCTTGCATCACTTGCTCTGGGAAGAGCCAGCTGGCATGCTGTAAGGACACTCAAGTAACCCGTGGGCAAACCCACATAGGGAGGAACTGAGGCTCTTTGTGAACCAGGCCATGTGGTCCAATTATCTGGGAGGCAGATTCTGCAGCACCAGCCTAGCCTTCCGATGACTACAGCCCCATATTCGGACTGAGTTCTCCCAAGAGACCTCAAGCCAGAACTATACAGCTAAGTGGCTTCCAAATTCTGGACCCATAGAAAATATGAGATAATGTTTATTATTGTTTTAAGCTGTTAAATTTTGGGTTAATTGGTTACACAGAGATAGATAACTAATATAATCTATTAGGTTCCAAAGCACAGCTCTTTCCATGACATCATTCTGCTTTAAAATTTGTTTGGATTATGAGAATGGGGATTGTGGAAGAAGTGGGACTTTGGAAGTTCACAATGTCCTGGTCATGTGATTTTAAAAAACTTTGAAATATCTGTTTGGTGCTTCCAGATACTGAGAGAGAAGGAGGAGTGTCATTTAGGGTTAAGCTGAACCTTGAGAATTCGGAGGGTTTCTTTTTTGTCACTACCCAGGAAAAGCTGAGTTGGTAGGAAGAAGTTAGCGGTTAAATCAATTGTTTTTGCAGACAGGTGGACTGGGGCTGGAGTCGGGGAAGATAAATGATAGAAAGTGCATTCTGGGAGGGCAAGCAAAGTCCTGACAAATGGTGAAGAGGGTGGGGCCCTGGCAGCAAGGAACCAACAGTCCTTTCGCTTCTGCCCCTTCCCTTCAGCTGGGCTGTCCCTTCCTCTGCCCCATCAAGTTCCCTTTGGCTTCAGGCTCATTGAAGCAGCTCCTTTCTTTTCTGCTCTTTCCATATCCCCCTTTCTTGTAATGCTCTTTTCCTATTTTATAAGATACACATGTGTGCATTTAGGAACATAAAAGAGGAAAACAAAACCAAACCTTATCTGAGAACCATCTTCTTTCGAAAACTCTTGGTATTTGTTTTTCTCCGTATTGTCCAGATTTGGTCTTGGCCTGGAGAGGCGAGGCACTGTGCCTGGTGACTTAATCAGGTCGGAGTCAGCCAGCAATAGCTATTATTCTCGGATGTGAGCACTAGAAGTACCTTTCCAGAACATCTGGCGCAAAGATGCTCATTTTATACACGGAGAATTTGAAGCGAGCTCAATTTGTTGAGCACAAAGAGCTCAAGTGACTATTGCTCTTGTTACGAATATTGATCGAACATTTGCAACGAGGAGGAGCTCTTCCAGGCTTGGATAAATTCTTTTACGTGGTCCACTAATCCTGATTAAGTAAGATGGGTGGAGCGATTCGCTGGGGTCGTCCCAAATCTGTTATGCAAGCACAGGAACACCAGGAACAGCAGCATAATCTGGGTCAAACCCTTCCTAAATTGTAACAGCTGAGGGGTAGGAAGAAAAGGTTGCCTCAACCCTCTGACTTCTAAACCCACCTTAAACCTCGTCTCTGCGCCCCCAGAGCCTACTACACAGTAGGCATCAAGAAACGTTTGCGAAATGAATGAACCAACTTCCCTCGGAGACCCCCCTGCCTCCCCGCCCCCTCTACATCCTCTCCCACTAGGGACTGCGCCGGCATTTGAGCCCCTGCCCTGGGACTTTTCGGGGTCTTCTCTGGTCTCTTCAGACAGTGACTCCGGCCCCGAGGCAGGACCAGGGCTCCCTTTTTCGCTGGGGGGCTCCTGTTGGAGCCGGGCAGGCTGCTCACCCCAAGTCTCATATTTTTCCTCGGGATGGGGACTCTTGGTTAGTGTGCACGCGAGCACCGACAATGGCTCGAGCTCGTCTGGGGAACACTAGGGGGATGCGGGGCGGCGTTCACGACTCTCGCTAGGCCGGAAGGACGGGCACGCCCACGGGCAGAGGTGGGCAGAGCCACCCACCCATCGCGCTCCCCTAGACCAGAGCGCGCCACTCGGGGCTGGCGGGCGGGCGCCGATGGGCGGGGCCTGGCGGGCGGTGCGGGGCGGGGCCTGGCGGGGGCGGGGCCTGCCGCGGTCAGGTGACGGCGCGGCGGGAGGCGGCGGCGGCCGAGGCGGAGGGGCGTCAGACGCGCCGAGGGGCCGGCAGGGCAGGCGGGGCAGCAGGGCCGCGGTCATGGGGGGCTTGAAGGACCAGCTGCTCAAGGCCATCTGGCACGCCTTCACCGCGCTCGACCTCGACCACAGCGGCAAGGTCTCCAAGTCCCAGCTCAAGGTGGGCGCCCCCTGCCCCGGCGCGCGCTCCACTCTCCTGGGTGGAAGCGGACCGGCCGGCGGTGACCGCAGGGCGGGGCGGGCGGAATGCGGCCGGGCGGCCTGCGTGGGGCGGAGGCGGCAGAGACTGGGATTTGGCGTTTGCTGCCTCCCTCTTGCCTTCGGGCCGTGCCCTCGGGCCGGTGCCTGCGTCCCCTCGGGGCTCCCGGTGAGCGGGGCAGGACGGGGGTGCATCTGCAAGGGGCGCGCCGGGCTCCCTGTTGGCGCGGGGGGCCCGGAGAGTTTCGGACTCGGAGAGGGCAGGGGGAGACTGTCAGACAACCTCCTCAGAGTTTCCCCCTTACTCAGGAGAGGAAGGGACTTGCCCAAGGTTACTGGGCAGAGCCTTCTGCAGCGCACGCCCCGCACCGGGGCAGTCCTCCAGCCGGCCAGCTGCTCCGAGGCTCCCTCCCGGGCCGCCCAGAAAAGGGAGAAGTGCCCTAGAGCCGGCCTCCAGCCGCCTCCTCCTCTGGGGGCCTTTGGCGGTGGGGAACGCTTTCTGACTTGTGCAGACGACCTCCCCACCAAGGGTCCTCAGGTCTGGAACTAATCAAGAGTGTGCTGTGTCCCGCAAGGACCTTAGTTTCCGGTGAGGAGCCCTGGTCTTTCTGGCACCTTGCAAAAGCGACTGCTTTTGCAGAGTCTTTGTTGTGACTGCCAAAGACCCCACCACTAAGTGAGAGTGTGAAGTAGAAATAAAGGAATGCTTCTACAGCGGGTAACCCCAAGGAGGGAAAGTGGCACTTGGCCAGGAGAAGTTGGCAGCTTCTTGAAAGTGTAAAATATGGAAACAGACAAGAAGAGCCATTCACAGGCATTTTCAGATATACACATTTTGGATCTGAATGTCTGATTTTCTTAGCCTCTTCTGGGAATGAAGTTTTGAAGATTGGATTTGCTTTGTATATTTTGGGCAGTAATCAAGGGAGGTTCTTATGAGTAGTGGCTTTTATGCTAGTAGGATTAGCATTTCCCTCTGCCTTCCTTTTGCCCTCCTCTTTTTTTTATCATTCATAAAATCATAGTCCGGAAGGGTCTGCAGAGATCATCCACTTAATCTTTATTTTACTTTAGTTTTTAATTTAACATAGAGTAAAATTACAGCACAGTTCTGTGAGTTCTAACATATGTAGATTTGTATAATTACTACCAAAATCACAGTTCCATCATCCCAAAAAGCTCCCTCTTGCTGCCTCCTCACCCCCAACTGTTGGCAACCAATGATGTGTTCTTAATTGCTGTAGTCATCTTTTCCACAATGTCATATAAGTGGAGTCATAGAGTATGTAACATTTTGACACTGGCTGCTTTTAGTGAGCATAATGCGTTAGAGATTCATCCGTGTTGTGTGTGTCAATAATTCTTTTTATTGCTAAGTCATGTTCCATTGTATAGATGTACCATAGTTAATCCAGGCACCCTTGAACAACATTTGTGTTATTTCTGGGTTTTGGTGATTATGAATAGAGCTGCATTTTCTTTTTCACTGACTTTTAATTTAGCTATGCTGCTATATTTAAAGTGGATTTCTTATAGATAGCATTTAGTTGGGTCTTGAATTTTAATCCATTCTAACAACCTGTCTTTTAGTTGGTGTGTTTAGACCATTTACATTTAATGTAAATTATTGATATGGTTTTATTATTTGGTTTGTTTTTTTTTTTTGAAAAGATTTTAAAAATTTTTCCTTTTTCTCCCCAAAGCCCCCCGGTACATAGTTGTGTACCTTTAGTTGTGGGTCCTTCCAGTTGTGGCACGCCACCCCAGCATGGGTTGATGAGCAGTGCCATGTCCGTGCCCAGGATACCCCTGGGCCGCTGAAGCGGAGTGTGCGAACCCAACCACTCAGCCATTGGGGCCGGCCCCTGGTTTCTGTTTTTTGTTCCTCTGTTTCTCTTTTCTTTTCTTCTTTTAGATTATTTGAATATATTTTAGTATTCCATTTTAAGACTGAGTTTTTGACTATATTTCTTTGTATAGTTTTTTTTTAATGATTGCTCTAGGCATTATAATATACATACCGAATTTTTCACAGTCTACTTAGAATTAATATTTTACCACTTTAAGAGGAATCTAGAAACCTTATAACCGTATGGGTCCCTTTAACCTCCCTGCTTTTTGTTGTATTTGTCATATTTGTTAATCTACCTACATTAAAAACCCCATCAGACTATGTTAAAATTTTTTGCTTTCAACTATCATTTTTATTTTAAAGATCTTAAGAGAAGAATAGTTTTCCCCAGATATTCTCAGATTACCCCTTAATTTTATAGAAAATGTAGATGAAACTTCTGAGATGTTTGGTGACTTACCCAAAGTCACAATTGTAAGTAGTAGCTAAATCCAGAACCAAGATTTTCAGTACTTTTGAGCTAGTGTTTCTTCCTTTTTTCTCTTCCAATTGATGGCATAAATGACCTGTTTTCTATTACTTTTGTTGCACTTCATTCAAAATCGTCTTTGTGGCTGCTTGTAGAGAAAGTGTCCAGAGGATTCTTCACTGCAGATGTGGCAGGAAATAGTAAATCCCAGTTCCTAGCTTTCACCCACAAGATGTTGACAGTGCCGCTGTCCAGTTGTATTTTGCCTGTTTAACTGAGAGTTTGGGATTGATTCAGTTCTGTTCATCTTGCAGTGTTTCTGGAATTGAAAATATTAAAAAACATTTATTAAAGTCTATCCTTTTTGGTGTTTTGACTCTGAAGTTTGATGTTCAGTGATCCATTGACTAGGAGTAGGGTTTTTTCCTTAATTTGTTCGTTCATTCATTTGCTCATACAATAACCTTTGTGTCTACTCTGTGGAAGGTACCATGCTGATTTCATAAAAAGATTAGTATTATTTTTTTTTCTTCTTCTTCTCCCCGAAGCCCCCTAGTACATAATTGTATATTCTAGTTGTAGGTCCTTCTAATTCTGCTATGTAGGACGCCACCTCAGCGTGGCTTGATGAACGGTGTCATGTCGGTGCCCAGGATCTGAACTGGCGAAACCCTGGGCCACTGAAGCAGAGGGTGTGAACTCAACCACTCGGCCATGGGGCTGGCCCCCAGAAGATTAGTGTTTTTAGGCTCTTAAGAGTTAATATCTCCTCAGAGGAAATATCATATAATTGATTTATTAAATAGCAGACTAAAAATTACATATCCAAAATAAGGGTTAAAATTTATTGTTTTGGAAAACTATATGGGCATTCTAAAATATTTTTGACACTTGTCTTTTTGAATTACCTTCACCACATTTGACACAGTGAATGGATACATTCACTGACTATATACTGGACACTTCATATGTTAGATTCTGTGTCCAAATCTAAGGGTGATATGGTGGTAAAGGTGGAGGAAAAAGAAACAACCACGAGGGGCCCGCCCAGTGGCGCAGTGGTTAAGTGCACATGTTCTGCTTTGACGGCCTGGGGTTTGCCGGTTTGGATCCCGGGTGTGGACATGGCACCGCTTGGCAAGCCATGCTGTGGTAGGCGTCCCACATACAAAGTAGAGGAAGATGGGCATGGATGTTACCTCAGGGCCAGTCTTTCTCAGCAAAAAGAGGAGGATTGGCAGCAGTTAGCTCAGGGCTAATCTTCCTCAAAAAAAAAAAAAAGAAACAAATAGGAATCTTTGCTTTCAGAGAGTTTAAATTTTTGTGGGCAAATTAAGAAGATAAGCAACCATTATAGAAGGCACTCTCTTTCTCTAGGTTATATTACTCAGATAATTATTCTTAAAAAATGTAAAGTCTGGTGGTAGAGATAAGAAATACAGAAATATTACAGGGTAGAAGATACTGAGTGTGAGAGAAAATAAGGGGCCATGAGATTTTAGAGCGTCAGGCAGTTACTTTTACTGGTGGGATAACGTCATGAAAGAAGCTTTTTGAAATGAACTCTGAAGGAAGCTAGGATCTGCTTATGTAGAAATGGGGAAGGATTAAGTCCATTTCATTCATTCATTCATTCAGTAGATATTTATTGATTGTAATTAGCTCTAAGGGATCCCTGTGAACTGTTGCAGGAGACAGGAGTTAATCAAGCATTTATGGGGACTTCTCTGTAACTTAATTTAGATTGGAGTATAGACACTCTGTGTGTTTGTGTGTATGGATAAGAGAGACTTATTGGTTATTGGTTAGATTGGTGGTTACCAGAGGGGAAGTGAGGAGGGAAGAGGGCCACAGGGGTGATAGGGCACATTTGTACAGTGACAGATGGTAATTAGTCTTTGTGTGGTGAACATGAGGTAGTCTACACAGAAATTGAAATATAATGATGTACAACTGAAAAAAATTATCCTTTTAAATATATTTATGCTTTACAACTCAGAATACATGATCAAAGTAAAAAGAATAAAAGACAGTTATTGCTGGTGATAAAGCTGTAGAAATCGATTGGGGTTAAGGCATGGAAGGCTTTGAGTGCCAGGCTAGTTAGGTGGATGCTCTAGGGCCTCTGAGTTTCCTGAGGGGTGACGGGCCGTGATCAGAATTGCGCTTTGGGAAGTCACTTGGGCAGGGACATATGTAGTGGGTTGGAGTGGAGTACAGTGGAGTGGAGGGGAGTGAGCACATTGGAATTAGGAAACCATTGCAGTAGCCCACGATGAGAGGTAATGGGGGCTAGCGGTGGTGAGGATGGACAAGTGGGGGATCGTCGGTGAAGTAACCGTGCCGTCCACGGGCCTGGACCCATGGTTAGGTGTAAGGAGAAATGGGCACAGCCAGAAATGTCTCAGATTTCGACTATGAATGACCGATGGACCATCGTGGTTTTTAGTAGAAAGGAAAGTTATGAGAAGAAACTCTTTAGAGAAGAAATGATAGTTTTGAACATGTAGAGTTTTGTTTGTTGATTTTTTTGTTTTTGAGGTCCTTGATGGATAGATATTTAGCGGGAGATGACGTCCTTAGAACGTGTGGTGCTGTCGGTACAGGATCTGACAGTTGAAGTTTGGAAGAAGGAGAGAAG